ATCAATGGCACAGTTTAACTCCATGTGGCTCAACTTACCCTCTCCTAGGCTCACTTTACCCCACCCTGGGGGCAAGTTGAGTCAAGAGACCACTTTTTTTTTTTTTAAAGATCCAAAATGATTATTCCCAAGGATGCACCACATTCTGAAATGTATGTACATATTTAAGTTGGACCCATTACTGTTGTGTGCTCGCTTTAAACACACCGTAAGTAAAAACTGGCTCAACTCACCCCGCTCTCCCCTATCTAATGCTGGAAATATTATCATTTTGAAATACAGAAAAATGCAGACAAAGATGCTGAAAGAGATTTGTTTTCTTTATTCCTTCTGAAGGTCAAAGGTCTGTCTCCTGGCCTAGAGAGGGACAGCTGTGTGGTGCTTATAGATCTCTGGTCACTTTCTCCCCATATGGATCAGCTCAGATACAGCTGCTCTGAGGGACCATGTGTCTGGTGTTGGATGACTCTGTGAGTATGAGACACAGCAGCTGAGCCGGGGCACACACCGCCCTGTGGTCTCAAGCAGTTGGTTCATGTATGTACACACTAAAACTTATGTTTGCCCACATGCAGAGAGTCATGCAAGTCGAGAAATCATTTGTCTGAAAATTACACAGAGCACATTATATAAATAAGGAGGCAAATATGTGTATATAGTGCATAGAAGTTTGTATACGTGTGTGTGTTTCCACAAATATAAAAAACGAGAAAAAAATATTAAGCAGCACAGCTGTTTACAATATTGATGATAACTGATAAGAAATGTTTCCTGAGCACCAAATCAGCATATTAGAATGAATTCTGAAGGATCACGTGACACTAGAAAACAGTTATTTTAAACTGAAATAATATTTCACAATTTTTAATTTTCTTCTTCTGTTTTTTTAGGTTGAATCTTGCTCCGCTCCCTGAATCTTTCACATAATTGGATCTCATTTCTGTAACTGAATAAAATCCAGTACACTCCTCTGCCATGCAAGGTAAGCAGATGTACACTCAAATCTGCCCCTCCCTTAATTCCAAGATCATGAATATTCCATGTTATGTGAGGAAAAAAGAAAGACAAAGGGGGGTGTGGCCAATCAAATAACCCTGGGTACAGGCGGTGTAGCCCCCTCCTCATCAGCACATACACACACACAAGGCAGAACCTGCTGCTCCATGCACCCACACAGACAGACTGATACTTTCTCATTCAGCTCTCGTGTCTATACACTACATCACGGTAAGACTTTCTACACTCCAATATTCTGGATGCTTTGTGTTCTTTCTACATATTTTCATAAAGATAGTCTGACATGTCTAGAGATTTGAAGTGAGAAGCAGAGAAATTTCTCTGAGAAGCAGGGCACAGAACAAAGACAGAGGCGAGACATTCCCAGTTCCCATAAAGACAGCATGGCCAACAGTCATCTGACTTGGCAGATTGGAAATTATTTTAAGGAATACATTCCTATGTGTTATCAAGTCTGAAGTCTGATGAAAGTGTTACACAATTTAAATGAAAAAGAATGGGTGGGACATTGGTCAAATGATGCCCTCACTAAACTCCACTGAAGATGTTTTGGTTCATTTTTGTTCTGTTTAAGCTTGATGAACAAATATGAATTTATTTGTATAAATAAAATTACATATATTAAACTTGCATTTTGTTTGGTCTAGTGCAGAAACATGGCTGACAAGCCCAACATGACGGAAATCACATCCTTTGATAAAACCAAACTCAGGAAGACAGAGACCCAAGAAAAAAATCCCTTGCCTACCAAAGAAAGTGAGTTTCTGATCCTGAAACAGTGGCTAAGGATCTTGTGGTGATTATGTTATGATCAATATTTTGTTTTGTTTTTAATATATTGGTCATTTCTCAATTAAAAATGTGTAATTGACAGTAATTAAATTCAAGAAACCAATTGCATATGAAATGAAGTAAATATTTCCGAGTGCGTATGTGATTATCTAGAATCATCAATTCATCCTATAATTTGATTTGGAAAGTAATCTATAAAATATAGCCTAGTTTAAAAAATCCTCTTGAAATACGTAATAGTATAGTAAATATACATGTTTTTTTCCACAGTTTTTTTTAATGATAACCAACAAGTTATTTCAAGTTATTTTTTAATCACGTTATTTTTTTCTCTTGGTCTGCAGAATAAAATCAATTAACTTTTTATTCACTTAAAACACTTCTCAAAGCCTGTCTTCTTGTGGAACCATTTTTTCTGCAGCTATTGAACAGGAGAGGCAGGGAGAGTCCACGCCTTGAATGCTGCTTTTAACCGCAGTCACACACAGCAGAGAGTGAAGGGAATGACTGAAATCCACAGGAGAGGGACTTTGGGAGGAATTGAACCAGTAACTGGTGTGTCATTTGTTTCATGGTTTTGTTTGTTTGTTCGAGAACTAAATAAAAAGAAATGTAGGAAATTTCTACGAATGTATTTTATCCAGTGGGGCCAGACAATCATTCAAATGCATTAACAGTATGACTGCCAGCATATTCCTAACCATTTGTTACAAGTCCTAACACATTCTAAACCAGTCCTAACACATTCTAAACAAGT